CTTACAGTGAGAATATTTACCTTTCACTCAGGGAAGATCTTAATTTTGGTCTTTTCTCCCTGTTTACGCACTTCCACAAAAGGTGTAGAGACTTGATAGCTCTGAGATTGAGTTACGGGCTGACTGATGGTAAACTGGCAAAGTTATTGGAGTGGAAGGGGAGGAAAGCAATTAACATACAGGGACACACCCTAACTCTGTAAGTGCCTGAAAAAGACACAGAGTCTGTAGGAGCACAGGAGGAGAAGGGATTCTGAGCTCAGCAGTGCCACAGACATTCCCACTGCTGGGAGGTGCCAGGACAGGACAAGGACCGAAGGTTCCTGGCACACGATGACTGGGCTGGGCTTAGTTCTCAAACCCACTAGCACAAGCTGATCACTCCGATCACACGCTGGCTGTAACCCACTTGGGTGGGAAGAATTCAAGGGGGGCAAAAAAAAAATCTCAAAGTAGGCACGTTGTTTAAGGTAAATAAACAGTAAATGCATTTAGCATTAATATAGCTCAAGAGCCATCAAAACACTTAGCAAAGCAGATGATAATTATAGACGGTTGCTTCCTTAGCTGAAGGTTTGCCAAGTGCTCCTCTAACCCAGTGTATTGAAATGATTACTTTTCAGGTGCAGACCAAGCCTCAGTGACAGCCCGCAGCCACATTCAGCTCGTGAAATCACAGGTGCAAGAAGTACGACAGCTGTCCCAGAAGGCAGAGACCAAGTTAGCTGAAGCTCAAACAGAAGAGCTCATAAAAGCTCAAGGAGAGGAATCTTCATTGCCACAGGGTATTTTAGGAAGTACAGAGGCGGGTGAGGACCCTTACCTTCGGGAGGACTGAAAAGAACTTAAGTGTCACTGTAGAATTTGTGAGAGTGAATTGCAAATTGAGGGGTCCCAAACTTTTAAGTGTGGGATAGTGGGAAACTGCTGAAATAAGCCTGTGATTCCGTCTTTTTGCCCAGACAGGATTGCTTTACAAATCAAGTCAATTCCAAGTATCTGAAAGGCCTTGATCTTGTTTGTAACTTACCATGTTTGTAATACTTACGGATTAAATTATTTAAATGTTTAACTATGCAAATGTGAAAATTGCTATCAAGGATAGCTTGTTGTTAATTGTCTCTCTGCTGGGAGGGTCCTACTGCTTGATATCTTTGTGAGAGCTCTCTTAACTTAGAGGCTACCTAGGTATCGGCCAAAGAAGTGTATTTAAAAGTCATTATTTTTAACCGGTGAAGTAAATGATGTCTGTTAGGAGATCCCTTTGTTAAACTGTCCAAAAGTGTTTCATTGCGACTGTGCCCGTTTGGATAAGAGATTAAATGCTGTTTTCTGTTTGAAGTTTGTAACAGAACTGAGTCTGACGGCTGCATCAAATTACACTTAATTGCAATTGGGGGAAACATTTCCTGTGGAGCTGAAAACTTCCTATGGAGTTACCCAGGCTCTTCTTAGAGAAGTTTTGCAGTTCAGTACAGCAACCTCTTTCACCCACAAGTCACCGCTTGTAACACATCTGCCTTCCCCAGGAAGCAAAAGGAGATTTGATTTTCAAGATACTGTGGTTATAAACAAAGTTTTTGTTGCAACTGCTGTGTACTTCTTTACAAAACAGTGAGCAAAAGCGAGTTTTACACATTTGAATGCTTTCTAGCACAACTTTCAGGAAAATGATCTCTCTTTTTTGCAAGCTTGATGTTTCACTGCAGGCTTCAAAACCACAGGCGTTTTTCACTGTGTTCATTTTCTAACTTGACAGCTTAATGTGAAATTTGCAATATTAACTATGTAGACAATCTAAACTTAAGGTGAGATTGCTTTGTAGAATAGCATCCACTAGAACTCTGTCACTGCTGATTTGAGCCAGTTAATCCCCATCCATCAGGTCTTGTAAGAAAATACATGTTAGTCATAGGCTTTTCACCACAAATTAGCATCTGATGCACTACATTTGTGTTGAGGTTGCTGGTACTAAATTGAGTTGGGCTTGAGGAGGAATTTTTCCAGCTGTAGCACAAGCCTTTCTATCTGCATCTCATTTTGCTTGCCTTTTGAACAAATACAATCTCAGCTGCATAGCACTGTACATTTATAGGTTAAATTGTAAAGGAATTTACACACCATCTTTCCTTTCTCCTGCTCCTCACTGGGTGCTGCTGTATCTGAGGAGGATGGCACAGTCTGGAATTCAAGCTCACAGGAAGATGCCAGTGTCTGCTGTGCCACTAGTCAGGAGGTCCCAAACACAGCTTTGGGCTGGAGCATTGGGAAAAAAAACCCACTATCACGAGAGGATTATGTGGCACAACCACTGCCTTAAGAGCCAAATGCAACTTCAGGTCAGGCTCTAACCACAACTGCTTGGATTCGCTACATGCTGCAGTGTCCTGGTTTGAGATAGAACACAACTGATTTTCTTTTCAGTAATTTTACTTTTCTTTTAAGTCTCTTCTAAGTAACGGCACTCTCTGAAGTTAACAGCTTATTTTTCAGACAGTGTCTGCTTCTAGCAGATAACGTCTGATGTTTATCGTCCACATCGGGCACCAAAGGGAACATCTGTCTTTCGTTTAGTGGCCAGCCCAGCCTCAACCACAACGACGTGCAGTTTAAGAACATCTGCCAAGCCACTGACCCAAATGCACATACAGGTTGTGCTCCCTACAGGATGCCACAAAAACGCAGATGCTTGCATGACAAAGATGTGGCGTAAGAGAGATGAACGCTGCTACAGCAGTCTGCAAAGCAGCGCATTCTTCCCCCTTCAGAGCCTGCTCCCAGCCCCCTCGTTGCCCCACACTTCTGGTTTCACTGTACACCCTGCTATTCCCAAAACACCTGCTGTACCCACACACATCCAACCTTCAGACGTGACAGCAACCAACTAGTCAGTTCAGTCAAGTCACAATGGGAGTGGGGAGCATGAGTGGCTCCTTATCGCCTCCAAAACGGGGTGAAAAAAGTCCCACACTTTTCTTAGGAAGTGAGAGTTGCCTATCGGGGGTTAGCCCATACGCCTAAGCCTGCAACAGACATGACATCACGCTCTACATTATGTTACTGAGTTTGCATTTGGAATCATCTAGCGGATCAGAAAAATGCTGCCACAGCAGTTCGCCGGGTACCATGGTACCCGCTGTGTCCAGCCTCTTCTCTGGAACAAGCAGCAGTGCCCAGAAACTAGGTTTTGCTGCTGATACTCAGCCTTGTTTACAAAGCCAACATAGCTGAAACCACATGTAGACAATTTCTTAGGTACAGCTTATTAATCCCCGTTAGGGCCGCAGTGAGAAGACACAGTAGCAGCTTGTACAAGTCCACACTGAGGATGGACATGGACACGCACACACACACAGGGTCACCCTTTGGAGGAGCATTTTTTTCAGACAAGCACTGGCATCTGGCACAGAAACAGCTCGCGTGGGAGTGGCAACACCCACCGTAAGAGTCTGGCTCACGCCGCAAGGCGAAGCTAGAACTATACCCAGCGTTTTAGAAAGCCCAAGCAGCAAGGGACATGTTCAAACAAGGACCAGCAGTACTGCCAGGAGTCCCGCATCCCGAAGTCGTCCAGGACTGCACCACCGCACTGAAAGGCAGGGCAGCCAGGCTGCCCCGAGAGCTCGTCAGACCTCTGGTCTTGGGATGCCCTCAGTCTCTCTGCCCAAGGAGTACAAGCAAGGACCTCCCAGAAGCCCGTCCCGGGCACCTCTGAAAGCTCCAGCTCGCATGTGGTAGGTGGTGAACGCTGGACAGCTGGCACCAGAGACAGCCATGACAACAGCACAACACAAATTACTCTGATTTGTGTAATCACACACTTCCTCTCTACCCTCCACCTTCTTCTAAAGCTTCCAGGCTGCTTCCTGCTCACACGCAGCACAGCAGCTTCTGATCTAGCAGCAAGGCACCCTGAAGCTGATAAGCTTTGTGAAAGCATCACCAAATCTTAGTTTCATATTTGATCTTTCCTCAAATTAGCAACTTCAGCACACTGTTAATCACTTCGGTATGAATTCATCTTGTTCAGACAGGGACAAAGGCAGCTGCTCACAGCAAAGGAAGTGGGAAGTTTCCATTTCCACAAAACCTTACCTGCTTTAGTATCAGTGACCCCTTAATGCAAATGCCCAGCACCAGATCTCAGCCTTCTCTGGTTTTTAGTTCTCTTAGCTTTCAGGACACCCAATAATATTCCTGTGAAAACACTTTTCAAAACTGTATTTTATTTATACCCAACATCATTACAACAACAACAAAACCCAAACACCTCCCACACAACAGGAAAAGCTACAGCCACGACAACTATCACCGTGATTATTCAGGACACATTGCTCCTCTCAAACCCAATCAGAAAGTGTTTGTGCAAAAGCTGCCAGTGCAAGTAAACCTGTAATAAACTTCTGTAAAATCCAAAGGGCTTGAGTCGGAGCCCAGTCCCTTGGATCATCCTGCTGTGTTAAGGCAATACATTTCTGAGGCTTTTTTTTTTTGTCCCCACTCCACTCCCTTCCTCCCGCTGTCCGGTAGGACCTGTGGGATTGCTGGCCAGGGACAGCGGAGTTGCGCTGCAGTGGACCCAGCAGCACACACCCTTTCAAGTAATTTCACATGCCGTGGCATCCATTAGTCATCATCAGCTTTCCTACACGAGACTGAATTTGGCCAGCGGTCAGACACCAGCCTTGGTGTTGTGGAGCCTCCATAGCAGGTGGCACCTCACTCACGTCCCTGTGGCAGTTGTGACTTCCTCTGGCTCTGGTCTGGCTGGGAGGAACCAAGCCCAGTCTCCTGCGCCAGGTCTCACCGAGCGACCGGCCCCATCCCCACCCTGTGACAATTCAACTGCTTCAGGAACCCACCGACAGAAAAAGACTTCCTGCAAAACAGACCCCTACGGCTCAAGTACAGTCTGTTAGTAGAGGACACGTTTCTACCACAACCTGATTTTTACTTTAAGTACCCTGTATTTGTCACCAGTCACAATCCCACTGTGCTTATCAGTAGCTTCTTTTCCAACCCCTTCTGTAGCTGTGCGTTACTGACACTGCACACCTAATGCTGTCATCCTTTACCAGCGTCCACATGATCCACATCTCAGTTGGGTTTAGTCTGTGCACAATCATCAGCTCTTTGTACAAGCACGGATCAAAAGGATTGAAAGGTCTCTGGATCCCGAAAGTCTTAAAGCCAGGGTGGTTCTTTGGGGTCACTGCCATCTTTGCCAGACACATTCCCACAAAGACGTCATCTATTGGGAAGAGCTCCATGTCCTCTGCGGTGCTCTGGAGGCGGCGCACTGTCTCTCTAGACATCACATAGCCCCCTCCACCTGCGTAGAGAGGATAAAAAGAGGCTCTGTACATGGACTCTGGAATAAAGTATTTGACCTTCGTGTTCCTGATGGGCCGGGCGTTGGCAATTACATCCCCAACAAAGAGATCCTGTTCAGGGTCCAGTTCTTGAAGGAACTCAACAATGTTGTAAGTGTTGACAAAGACATCATCATCACCCTTCAGCACAAACCTGGCATGCAGACAGTCCTCCATGAACCAGCGGAGGAAATGCAGCTCCTTGAGGGTCAAGTTGAAAAAGTTGTCAACAAAATCCCACTGCAAGATGTCATCAAACTCCCGGCTCTCGTAAGCCAGCAGCTGGTGCAGGGGCTGTACCTGGATTTTGGCCTCCGAGCGTCCTAGAAGGAATACCAGTCTGATGCGCTTGCCACCAATGGAGACCTCCTTCCCCCACGTGTTCCTGATTGCCACCCGTCGGTCTATGTTTATTGGGGAAGACTTGATTGCCAGCAAGAGGAACGTCTCTTTGTTACACCTGGAAGGCGTCAGCAGGACTGAGAAGTTCCGGCAGTGCTTGTATGTTAGGAAGACGCGATGAAGCTCCGGGAGGTTGAGAGAAGAATTGGCAAGGGTCAGGTTTGGCAAACACTTGCTGGGTTCAGCATTATCCATAACCAGAGACTTCAGTTCGTGATTTGCTACATCCACTTTCTGGTCCGCTGATGATGCTGCCAACTTTGCCTCTTTCGTCATGTAAAAAACCCACGCCAGCAGCGTGATCGAAAAGGCGTAAAGCGCGAGGTTTTTAATCCTGGGATACATGGCAACCTCCGGCGCAGAACGCAGGCCCTGTGCAGTCAGAGGAAGACGAGCCATTTATGAATTAGACCTGCAGACTTATACTTTCCACTTGCGCTCGCAGCACTCCCACACCCGCAGGGACGCTCTGAGCCCCCCACCAGCCCGGGCAGCCGCC